GAAGGAAGGAACGAGTGAACAGACACTACAGCAACTCCTTCGGCCTGGCACTGAGGTGGTGGCAACCTTGGACTTCATAGTTGACAGAGTCACCAGTTTCCCGAGATTTATGTTATCTTAGAACTAATTGGTCAGTCTGGAACAAACAGAAGCCCAGAAAGCCTGATAACACTGGTTGTCAATTCTTTGAGTGTACGAGGCCTAAGAGATAATATGACCTCCTCTGATGATTTCCCCTTCATTAGAAGACATGGTCTGGATCTTTATCTCTGACTTACAATCTGTATTCTATCTACAAAGTCCATTGGTTCAAGTTAGTAGTAGTTGAGATTTGATTACAAAAAATATCAAAAATGAAAACAGCCAAGTATTTTGAGAACCACAGATAGATTGTGTCAGATCTATTGAAACAGTGACAGATACTTGGAAACATAGGACTATGTATGCTATTACCATTCAGCATCAGTTATATTAGAAATGCTAACTTGATACAATGATATTTACTATTTCATCCTATACTTAACCAAAATAACTACGGAATGTTACTAAAATGAGTTCAGTACACAAACTGATTCCCTGCAAAAGTTTTTAATTTAATCTAAACACTTATTCTTTTAAAGAAAATAATTTTGCACATAGGTGCCATCTTGAAGCTTGGATGGAAAAAACTGTGTGTGCATACAAAGAAACAGCTGGCTAAGTGCCTCCATGGACCTTCAGTGCCTCAAATGGGGATTTTCTCCTGCTGTGCCTGGTAGTTAGATCAGGCTGGAAACGACTTTCATGTTCTTCAAGGGTACTGTCTAGCTTAGGGTGCTCACAGATCACCCATTCACTCTGACTAATCACCAAGGAGAATGTGGACTGTGCTGTATCCTGGAAGATTCCACAGGCTGCTAGAATGAATACAGGTTAAGAAATTGGTGAAACTGCTAAAATGATGCTTTTTAAGCAGATTCAGTTTGGTCTAATAGACTTCTTTTCAAGGTTGGCAGCAACTTGAAAAAAAATAAAATTTTCTTTAAAAAAAAAATTGGATTTCTTCACTTTCCTTATTATCTTGGTAAGAATTTTGAGTATGGGGGTCTGGAGAGATGGTTCAGCAGTTAAGAGCACTAGCTGCTCTCTCAGAGGACCTGGGTTCAATTCCCAGCACCTACATGGCAGCTCACAACTATAGCTGGAGAGTTTTCTCTCTGGGTCCCACCAAGCCCCGGCAGTCCGACAGCCCACTTATAAAATAAACACACAGACGTTTATATTATTTAAACTGTTTGGCCTAATGGCTCATGCTTCTAGTTATCTGTTCTTATATCTTAAATTAATCCATTTCTATAAATCTATATCTTACCACGTGGCTCGTGGCTTACCGGCATCTTCACATGCTTCTTGTTATGGCAGCAGCTGGCAGTGTCTCCCTGCGCCTTCCTGTTCTCTCAATTCTCCTCTCTGTTAGTTCTGCCTATACTTCCTGCCCTGCCCACTGGCCAATCAGTGTTTTATTTATTGACCAATCAGAGCAATTTGACATACAGACCATCCCACAGCACACAACTGTCTGTAACTCCAGTTCCAGGGAATCTGACAGCTTCAAGACCATGCACATAAAATAAATAAGTTAAATAATTTAAAAAAAGAGAATTTTGTGTGCTGCCTCTGTACAGGGGTCCAAGTTAAACTTGTTGGAGATGGGCTAAGGAATGAATCTTGAACAGACTCCTGATTTTCTTTTTCTAAGATTGAAGGAAAACACAACACCACAACCACAGGGCTCAGAAGTGGATGGAATACCATTGGGGTTTGCACTTGCTCACTTAAAACATCTCACCTTAGACATGAATTACCTTCCTTCTGACACAGTCCAGAAGCCAACTGAATCCTCAATACTTATCCTTTTCAATTAAGTCTTGACACTGCAAAGATCATGAGAACCAGCACTGAGCTGATTCTTGTTATACTGACAGTCGACAGTATTCCCTAGTTAATAAGTTAATATTTTAGATGAGTACATAATAATTAAAGGAAAATATCATGCATGTTCTAAACAGTTTACGCAGCCAGCATAAATGGCACACACAATTGGCCATAAGAGAAGCCCAGGGTTTGATGAATAGATACCAGGGTGTGTGGGAGAGAAAGGCTGCAGATGCTCACCAGAGAAAAGCTTTTACAGGACAATGTTTGATGCACTACCAATTTTCTCACTGAATTTCACCACTGCCTTTATGAACACCATAACACTGCCACCTTGGAAGTATCTGTATAGACAATGGAATTGGCACTTCTGACTAATTCATGTAACAAATATGTGACTAACATTGCCCATTCAGGTAAATATTAGCAAGAACGTATTCTGTTCTAAAGTCTATGATGGTGGAGATTTCTCAGTGCCATAGCAAAAAAGGAGAAAGAAAACCAGGAGAATTATCTTATGGAGCACTAAGATGGATAAAAGGAGAAAGGAAGGAAGCATTTGAAACGAATCTAGGTAGGTGCTAATATTCTGACCTACCCCTTTGAAATCCTGCCCCTTGGCACCACCCTTTGTCCTGATGTAAAAGCCTCATTTTAAGGAAAAATCCCTCCCCTTCCCCCAATTCTGCTTTTCCCCCTTCCCCGCCATGAGGTGAGGTGTGCACACCTCTGCTTTCCCTCCCTTCTCTTCCTTCCTGTCTCCCTCTTTTCTATCTTTCTCTTTATCTCTCTATTATTATTATTTTTTTATGGTTTTTTGAGACAGGGTTTCTCTGTGTAGCTTTGCGCCTTTCCTGGAACTCGCTTTGGAGACCAGGCTGGCCTCGAACTCAGAGATCCACCTGCCTCTGCCTCCCAAGTGCTGGGATTAAAGGTGTGTGCCACCATCGCCCGGCTAAAATTAGATTTTTTTTCCAGAGCTGAGGACTGAACCCAGGGTCTTGTGCTTGCTAGGCAAGCACTGTACCACTGAGCTAAATTCTCAAGCTTATCTCTCTATTAAAATAAACTCTCTCTATGTGGATGTAGTGCCTTGCTGTGAGTGACTGTAATACATACCGCTGCCCACCACCACATCTGCACAGATGTTTTCCCTCATCCATGGGAGGGATACCCTCGGGGTCCCACACATGGAATGTCATAACAGTAGGACTAGACACCAATTCTACTTTTCACTAAAATATAACTAACCATGGGGAAGTTTTTTTTTTAATCAACTGATTTTGTTTTAGACATTAAATTTCACATTAAACTGACATCTAGGAACCAGGTACATCAAAACTATAAAGGATTGTTTTAACATAAGACAACCAATGAGAACTAAAGGCAAAAAAAATTAGAAGTAACTATTAAGGGCCAGCAAGATGGCTCAGTGGGTAAAGGCACTTGCCACCAAGCCTGAGTTCAATTCCTGGAACTCACGTGGTGCAAGGAGAGAGACGCAATACACTCATGTTTCCTCTGACCCCCACATGCATGCCTTGGCACAAATACACACATATATAATAAATAAATGTTAAAAAAAAGAACTCTAAAAGTAACTATTGTCTTATAATTTAAAAAGCCTTTACATTCTCAACCATACCCTATTCTACACACCAAAATCCACACATCAACTTCTTTCAACTGTTCATCCCTACTAAAGGCAGCAGCACTAGTAAGCAAGGCACTTTCAACTCAAAAGTATAAGTGATCCCTATGACTTCAAGGGACTCTATAAGGTTTAATCTAACTTAAAAATATGAAACTCTTTTTTCAGTAAGATTACATTTTTACAAGCATGATTGTGCTACTTTTTGTTTGCTATAATTAATCTAAATCTTATATTGCAGAAGGACATATTTATTCCTATATTTCACTCACACACACCTCCAAAATTTTAGTCAAGAATTATGTCACTGTTTTTTTCTATAAACTAACCCAGGTCCTAAAGATGAATCCCTAAGGGAGACCTGTTTGGAAAACAGACTTTAACTTACTCATTCTGAAATGGTTCTGAGATTTTATCAGAAGACTTCCTGTTTAATCTACCCACCGTAAAAATCATCTCTGTTTAATTTCAGAATTTTTTCCTCTGGTCTTCTTAAGGCAAACAGTGAGCCAGCCAGGGGCTTTCATTGGCAAAGCTGCCCATCTGAAACTCGGTCCACTGGTGCAATGGTAGGTCTTCCGCAGTTCTAACACATCTTCGTCCCTTTTCATGTCCTCCCAGATCTTCTGAACTGACAGAAGACTCTGCCTGTCATTTTCTTAGAGGTCTGCATAAACGACGAGGGCTCTCTGAGGCTGACAAATGCAGCTGCTATTTTCAACTCTGCTTGTCACTGTGTAATTGCAGCAAATGCAACCAAAAGTACCTTTACTTGAAGGCCATTTGACAGAGGGGATGAAAACACATTTACTCTTTCAAGGCTTGTATATTTTCCTGGGAGAAGCCTGCCTATAAAATTTGTCCTTTTATCCTTAGAGAGCTATTTGGGAAACGTCTCTGAGCAGAGAGAGCTGCGAGGCAGAGCCCTTTTCCTCAATCCTCCTCATCTCCTTTCCTGAGTTCTGAACCCTCCTGTGCTGGGAGCCTTCTTTTCCCCAGGAGGAGGCGGGAAATTTATATGTGCTAGGGAAAACACTGAGCTCCCTTCATTCTTGCAGTTTGAAGAATTGTTTTGCAAATCTTTGCCACAGTTAATTTAGTACAAATAAAAAGAATACCCTGATTGTTTTTTTTTTTTTTCCCAATTCAATTCTTTGGTAACTTGTTTCTTTTCAAGAAATTCAAATTCAGTAAAATAAGCTGATTGGATACAACTGGCTTGCGTATCTTTAGGAGGAAGTCCCTTGAAAAATACAAGGAAGTCTGGCTTTGCAGGATTTAACAAAAGGGAAAACTACGAAATAATGTTTTTAAATTGCTGAAAAGCGGTTTCAGGCTCTGTAAATCATCCCAGCTTCTGAACCTGCACAAACATCAAGTATCACAATTGCTTTGAGGCCTCAGGTGGGTCCTGGACCTGTTGCATACTTCTTACCTATGAACAGATTCCACTCAGTATCCAGGTCCGCCTGGTTGGCTAGACAGCCCTTCATGACGTTGAGGCAGTAGTTGTTGCAAGGTCTCACGGTGGGCAAGCCTCGGCAGTATGGGCAGTACAGCATCTTCATGAGAGCCCGGATGCACCCAGGGGTGGGGCTCACCTGTAAGTGTAGAAGACAGGGAAAAGCAATCAAAATCAAAGAGATGGGGAGGGAAGTAGTTGAGCTCTCCTCAACAATGTAATGAGACAAAGGCAAAGGAGCTGGACTGAGCCTTCCGCAGCCACAGGCTCAGGGAAACTGTTTAGAGCAGAGCCCTTTTCAAGTTTTGATGTGGAAGCCAGTCAATTTCTACTAAATACTTGTGCTCAGCACAGTAATCGTTTCCCGAAAGGCTCCTGTCCTCATTTTGCTCTTTCCCTCTGGCGTTGCAATTCCACCCGAAAACATGGACACTGTTTCACGGCCGTAGAATATGAAGTGACATAATGCATGTACAGGCAATTGAAAAGCAAAGGGCTCCATAAAGATGTCGCTGCTGTTAAAGTTTAATGTGACACTTTCAGCGAAGTTTCCAACTGGTTACTTGATCCTTTTCTAGCGGAGCTGGCGGCTACCCTTCCTGTGTTCACAACTCTTACAAAGGTGCAGTATCGCCTTGTCTGGGATCTATGTGATCCAGGCCTGCATAGAAGCCATGGACCTGGTAAAGCACTGTCTTAGGCCTCTGAGGATACAGGACTCCAGAAAATGCACTGAAAATGGATCCAGCTTGAATGCAAGCAGGAATTCTCTCAGGAATTCAGAGTCATCACTGACACACTGACAATGAGGTGCTACTTGTCCACAGCAAGGAATGCAGGGCCCCGAATCAGTCCTAAAGCAGGCAAACTTGGGGCCCAAGGAAGGTGAGAACTACAGGACTGAGAAAGGCCATAGACGTCTTCCTCTGGGAAAGACACAGCCACCATGGTCAGGAAGCCACAGCAGCTGCTCAGCACTGGGTCTGCATAAGAAAGGGCCTCTGGATAGTCATGCCTGGGTGAGCAGGGCCTGGGGGGATCCACCCTCCACTCCTGAACTCTTCACTGCTGACAAGTTAAGTGCCCTCAGTTGTGATCCAGTGGTGACCCCACCAGGTTCCCGTGGATAGCCCCGATCCAATGGCTGCACAGATGGCCATGGTCAAACTAAGGAAGGTCGCAAAAATAGAAATCAGATGTCGTGAATCTGGGAAAGGGACTGCTAAGCATGAGGGGTGGTGGCCATAGGGGTAGGAGGAAGATAGAGTGGATGTGCTTGTGGGCACAGTGTATAAGCAGAACATATTAGGAATACGTCTTACTTTCCAGATGCATTTGGTCATTTTGAGACATAGACCTAACAGGAATAAAATTGTAAAATCCTAATCTTACAAAGTTACCAACTTTTAAACTTTTAAAGATAATTAAGATGCACAAGCTAATGGTCATCCATGCTAAGTACAAATGTAATTTATTTACAGAGACAGGCTTAGAGGAGGGACCAATTTATAACAGCCATTACATAGCCTTCTGTATATGTTGAATGCTTGAGTAAAATAGGTTAAATTTACAATGAGCCTGCATGACCGGAAGTTCTCAGGCTCAAGTAGTTCATTTGGATGGAGCATGATTCCACCAGAGTGGGATCCTGTTGGAGGTATTTTCTCAACTGAGGCTCCCTCTCTCCAGATAGCTCTAGCTTGTGTCAAGTTGACATAAAACTAGTCAGCCTACCCTTTATCCTGGCATTCAATTCTTTCTCTTAGCGAAAGCTAATTTCAGAGTCTATACCCTAACCACTCATGTTTCCTCTTTAAAGGAGAATTACAGATAACTCTGTCATCAATCTCCCAGCTTTGGGAAGTTATTTAGAATATCCAAGCCATGTCTTTGACCATTGGCTTCACATCGGCAGAGTCAACAAATGATTCTATTAAATGATGATATCCCAAACCTCCAGATTCTTCAGGAGCAGATGACTTAAATAAAAGAGATTCTTTCTACCCTGGGTTCACCTGTGGTGCTTTGAGAGTATAATTTAGTCTCTACCCAGTCAGAGAGCTCCAGGGAAATCCCTGTACCTTGAAGCCCACAAGGAGGACACAGGCTTTGGCAGTGAAGCTTGTGTTTTCTAAGAAATTCCAAAAGCCAAAACCTCATTTAATTTTGGTATCTTGCTTGACAAATTATGCTTTTAAATGACCCATCTATATTAAACAAAAATGATGTTAAGAAATAGTTCACTGTTGTCAGTATGTGGTGATCTAGAGATTTGTCCATCATAGAGTTGGCTTTAGCCCTTCTTTGTCAATTCAGCCCAAGTTACAGGTAAGTCATTTATTACAGCTTTGACGTGACTAACTGCTTCCATCTTTCATTTCTCTACTAGTTGAGTGTATGGAATGAAATGTTGTAGTTCTTAACATTCCTCATAAAGTGGTACAGTTGCTATCTTCTGACTTATGTTCTGGATCTTTGCCAACTGGTAAGTTTTATCATGGCCCCTTTGATGGATCCTCTCTGAGGAACCCCAACTGCTGCTTCCTCATTGCCCTTTTGGCAGCCTACAGAAGAGATTGGTGTCCCCAAGTCCCTAAAAGCAGTTCAGATGACCTCTGAAAGGGATCTAATGGGGCATGGACCATCCAACTCATCATTCTTCTTGTCAGTCTGGACATCAGTTTTAAGACTCAGAACTAAAACATTGGACTGAAGCCTTCCCTGCATCATTAACCTCTCTGTCTCAACCAGGTCAGATCAGTTTAACATCTTTCAGGACCAGCTCCACTCCTTGACTGCTGCAGTACTCCACAATTAGGAAGGACTGGATCTAAGTACTGCTAAGGATTTGTGCTCTCCTCTGTGAACATGCTGCTTCTGGACCAACAGATGCTAACTGATTTGTAGTGGGGACAAGAGAAGGGGACCAAAAAATATTCAACCACAAACCTCCTCCTGTGTATGGGCTTCTGGTTCCTTCCCACTCTGGCTCTTCCCCTGGATGACTGCTTTCCTCCTCATTATATTCATACTTAATTTTGTATAGTCTTTTAAATAATTAACTTAAATCAACTTCACCCTACACCTGAGCAAACTTCCATACAAGCTCTCCCAGTAGGTTTCACCCTACAGCAGCTCCATCTCTTCCTGACACATCTGCCAAAAGACCCTTTTACACTGTGGAGAAACTCTGGGTAAAGGACCTTCCTTCACCCTTTCTACTCCAAGGGATGCAATTCTTTACGTTAGTCCTCTCTTTGGTCCTATCCCCTTCCTTTGATGCTCTGTAGCTCCCCGCTACTTCTCCTATCTCGTTTTGGTGCACAGTCCTGGTCATGGGGCCAGTCACTGTCACACTGAATCAACTTGATGCTTACTTTCTCTTACTGGCCAACTCTGTCTCTCCTACCTTGCCTCTTCCCTTCCCCAAACATTTCCAGAAAATCTTATAGTTCTACTTTATAACCAAATCATCTGCTTAAAGCCTCTAATTATTATTTTCCAAGTCTGTTCAGCAATACAGGACTGCAATCGCCTGATCTATCACAGTGAGTCAAGTTAAGACTCTCCCCTGCTTCATGAACAGGGGATCTCCTCTTCAATGGACCCAGAACTATCCCCTCTGACACAGACCTTCCTCAGCAGAAAACAACTTTAATGCCTCTGCCCCACATTTTTATACCTTCTCAGAGTTAGAAATGCTAGTTTCCTGCTGAAAGACTCCACTTCCCAGCTTCCCTTGCAGACTATGGGAGTCATTTCTGCCCTAACAAGAGGCAGCATCCCATCTTCTTTTATAGACATTTTGACCACCTTCACAGATGGTGGCAGAAGTGCCTCCTTGATGTGAATAAATATGGTCCTGCTCAGGTCCGACCAAGTTTCTCTTTTTCCTGCTTTCCATCTCTCTACAGCTGCTCTTAAATAGTCTAACATGCATGAGTTAGATTTTCCTACATTCACATTTTCATAATCTCTCTCCATTCCTTCAATGATCTTTATACACTACAGCAGTACCCTGATTGTTACTTTTTCCTGGTAATATAAGATTGACTTCAATAAAACCACCATCACAATGAACTGTAGGAGCCAGTGTGTTAAGAACTCAAGTCAAAGAAGTAAAGTTAAACATCAGAGGTAAAAGAGAACAGTGGAGGAGGCCTTGATCCTACAAGTGAAGATTTCAGCAGCAAAGCCAGAGCAAAGAGATAGATCATGAAGCAGACGCGAAATCTGTTGGCTCGGTTGAGGACATGCAGTCAGAGCATCAGCCCCAGGTTGGTTATTTCATTGAGAATGACAAATTCAATGCAATTTCTTAAAAAGATTCTCCATCGACAGGGATCACAGAGAAAGGGAGCAAGGAAGAGCGAGGCAGAGTGAGAGAAAGCAGGGAACTATAAAATCCCTCATTTTCATGCCCGGGCCTGGCCAACTCTGCACCATTTGCTTAAGGATTTTGTGTTTCGAAGCATGACTTTTCACAGCCTTCCTTCTTCTGTGGTCTGGACGCTTACTCCAGAGAGGCGCCCTGTTGTCACTGAGGCTGCCTAAGCTACATCCTCCATTGAGTGTCCCCTGTCTTCTCGTTCACTCAGGGTCAAGGTTTACAACCTGGTAAACACCCTGCATTTGTGTTCACTCACACAGCCTTGGTCACCTGTTTAGCACTCTGCACAATAGCCATGTACTATTATGGTCCATCTTAGAACTGTGCTATGACATTTTTTTTCTTATCAAGTGCTTTTTGAAGCAACTTCTCTATTACCTTTCCCAGTTACTTGGCCACATTGGTATCCCGAGGGGGAAAAAAAAAAAGAACAGGATGGATTTGTAGGTTTTAACACTTAGCTACTGCTTTTTAACTTTACCATCAACGGCTATTGATTGGATTAATTCTTAGCTTTCATTTTTAAAAATATATAATTGTGTTGGAACAAGTACAGTTTCTTCTGACATTTTAGAAGAGTCTCCAACTCATGGTAGCAACCAACAGAGAAAATTGAATAGCCTTAATAATCTAAAAGAACAATGTTGTTCAAGTTAAATGTGGGTCTCTGAGCACTTTTGGAAATGACGTCCTTTTTGGTCAAAGAAAGGGCATTTGAAAAATAAAATGGAGCATCGGGGATCAGTACT